GAGTTGGTAGCATGGATGTTGCATTCTGCGTTTCTTACATCTTTATTCGGCGCTGGTTTCTCAAGATTCCATTCCGTTATCCCCGTTTAATCGCGATCGTGTGGAGATAGGGCTTTCATTACGTTTTTATGATATCAACATGCTAGTTAGCATAGATAATTAACTAATATACATAAAAGCTATTTAAAAATTACTAAAATGTATATGTACCCACGTACTTTGCAGTTTTGGATCCTGCGAACCAACTTGCAACCTGCTCGCCTGGATCGATTCGAGGCTACCCGCTCGCCGGCTGCCGTGTTGGAAAAAAAAAAAAAAAAAAGACAAAATTTAAATATAGAATTTATGAAGAGTACTTTCAATGCAACTCTAGATTTAGAAACCCTCGACTCTCTATTTTTAATTTTTAATTTTAATTTTCGTTTTGGGAAAAATGATACAATGAAAAAGATAGTAAATACAAAATTCATTGGTATACATGACTGATGAAATACCGCAAGTGTGTGTATATATATATATACATACGCTAAAAACTATCTATGTTCATGTCCATACATATCCCATACCCAAGGCCCGTTGATCCAAATGCAATACAATGCAAGTGAAATGTAAAATGTAAAATGAATACCAAAAAAAAAGAGAAACATGCATCCAGTAAAGCAAACCCTGAAGAGAAAAAAAAGAAGAACAAAAGGCTGAAGAAATATAACCCATAAAAGAAATCCGTCCGTGGTATGAAAAGGGTAAAAGCCGTAATGCAAAATGAGAGGCAAAAAAGGGGATATCGTAAATATATACATACGAAGAGAAAAAATATAAAAATAAGAAAGAAAAGAAGGAATAATAGATGGAAAGAAAACCCAATTAATGATTCGCTATGGTTATAGGTAAACCCCGAAGACAAATGAAAATGGAAACCGTGCGAAGACCCTGCCGTTTGACCCGTGAAAATGGTACCCAAGAGAGAAACAAGGATAAAGGAAAAGAGAATAGAGAGGTAAAAAAATAAAAGAGAGGGGGTGGGAGAAGAAAGAGGAGGGACAAGAGGAAGAAAGTTGTTATGCTGCTTCAGAGAAGGAAGCACCGTCTCCCCCCGAAATAACAGATTCCCACTCGATGCCGTCCATGACCAAGTCACCTTGTGCATCGGCCAAACCAAGTATATCGAATGACCATTGTCTCGTATGCCTCAAGGGATAAGCATCACTATAACCTCCATCTTCTTCCACGGGTCCGTACTCCAAACTCCCAGGGATGTGCATCTTTGGATGAATGAAAGCTGAAATTGGGATCCCAGAAACAACTTTCTGTAGTTCTGAAGAGTAAGAATCCATTCGGTAAGGTGTAAGGCTAGCACCCATGTGAGAAAGGAGCAAAGCAGTATTACGCCTCTTGGTGCTGCTCCGTCGGCGACGTGGGACATTTGGGTGGAGGCTGGAAGCCGAACGGGACGAAGATGTACTTGTACTTGTGATTGTTGGGGCGAGTGAGAAGCTAGTCCTAGAGGTCCGAAGGGATAAAGGACCAATGTCTTGTGAAGGTCTACTAGGCTGATATAGAGAGTCTTGAGACTGACAAAAGGAGAAAGAAGATAGTAAAGAAGAGAGTCTTTTGTTGGCTAGGTAGGCGGCAGGATCCTGACGGCGAGATATTCTAGACGAAGTGTCTGCACAACTGCTTCGGCGAGAAATAGGTGTGATGTGAGAGAAAGAAGATCCGCTACCAGAGGGAGTGAACTGCTGGACACTTCCTCTCCTCGAAGCTGAAGCTGCTACTTCGGTTGTATCCATAGTCTTTGCCGATGTAATAGATGGAGAACGAGCCTGAGAGGGAAGATCGGCGAGGTCATCAAACCATTTCTCCCACTCAAATGGCTGTGGATAAGATTGGGCATCAGTCTTGTCGTATGGATGGTACATCAGCATGGCCGGATCGTACTCTTGCTCCTTGAACGATGCAGCCTTCGAGACACCTCGCTTGGTAATGTCATCCAAGTCGACATCATCAAAAGTATGAGAGAGGGTTGGAGAGTCCGGGTAAAGAGTCCAGTCACGACCAAAGGAAGGCTCCCAGATTGAAGGTCTGCGTGGCTCAGGAGCTGGGATAGGTAGTGTGACGCCTGGCATTGCGGACTTTGAGAATGATATTGTAGATGGCTTCAAAAGGCTGGAGAGTATGTTAAGAGGCGGAGGAGCCTTGATTATATGCATAAAACCTGTCCGGAAGGATATAGATATCAAGAGAATGATGATGTGTCGCAAGAGAGAAATAGGGAAGAGGGGAGAGGAAGAGAAAGACGACAGAGAAAAATAGGATCTGGGAATTAACAGAGAGAAATGGAAAATAGTTGAAAATATTGCTACCGTAGGTATGTAAGATACCTTATTGAAGGATGCAATATCCCTAGTTTGTATCTACTAGGTATATGGTGTATATATAAAGTATTGTGTCCCCGAGAGGTGGTAATGATAACGTTCAATAGAAATTGATACTGTGCGTATGTCTGTGTATGTGTCTGTGCGAAGAGATGTCCTTGTGGTATAGAAAAAACGATGTAGATATTCAAACTGGTACTGCGAGATGCATCGACGAAATAATTAATTTATACAAGAAAATTGCGGGAAAGCTAAGGGCACCTGGCGAGGTTTATATAAATAAGTAAGTACTTAAGTTAAGTAAAAAGGTATGTGGGATGCAATATGGGGATAAGTTGGCTGGCTGCGAGCTGCATGCGAGGAAGGGAAGGGTGTGCAGTGGTGTGGTGTGGGTGGTGTGCAGCGGTGTGGGTTGGCCTTTTTTGGGTGTGGTGACCGGTAATAAATTCCTTCGGTCCTTGCTTGATGAGAAGCCAAGTTCGTCTGGACAATGTCAAAAGCAAAAGCAAAACGAGGCATGCCCCCAATCGAGAGGTAGATGCCTACAAGCGTCCGGATCCCTTCCCATTAACCTTCCCCTCACCTCCCGGGCGGGCCATCGCCAGCTCAAGCTGAGCTTAGGACATACAGGTCTGCAGGTAAGTAAGTACGTATGCATGCAAGTACATACGGAAGTACTTCATTAGTAACGTACTTTATCCCGGAAGTCGGTCTCATCACGTTCTAATTTTCTCTCTCTCTTTTTCAGAAAAAAGAAAGATCGCTCGCTGTATGCATCTGGTTTCGAAACCTCTAGCTGGGCGGACATGCGGACTGGGTCCTGGTAGGTCGTAGGCCAGCAAGCTTCAACTGAATGACGGACCTCTTCAAAGCAGGGAAAAAAGCAACGAGTACTACTATCGATATCTACATACGTTTCCAACGAAAGGCAAAGAATTAGAGATGGTCCCCAAAAGCAAAAGGCCCATCCTAGTACCGTGGCGTCTCTTAATTTTTTTTTTTTTTTTTTTTTGGCATGGTATCGAAAGCTTTCTGACCTCGAACGAACAGGCATTCTACTTCCAGAGCAATTGGCTGCGCTAAACTTACAAACAGACAGGCCTATCATATGTGCCCGGGTGGGTGTGTACATCTGCTATGGACGATAGCATTGCTTGCTTGTCGAGTACAGGTTAGTAAGAACTATATGTATGTACATTGTACCCTGTACCCGAATACGAAGTATGTATGGAAGTAAGTACTTACATACTTCATTACCACCTAATATTTACATAGTACTCGCCAGGGTTCGTGTTCGGCTACCAACCTCAGTCCGATAATTCAGGAAAGATGACACTCTCAGGCAAAACCTACCTAACTGTGTTGAAGGTTAAGGGGCGGGTGCCAGTAGGAAAGGCACTTGCATCTTCCCGAGCCTTAAAAATGACCTAAATACGCCTTAGCATCATTGAGGACATCCACAAAAGGGAAGCTCACTAATTGCACCGGTGTCCTACGTACATGATGTATGAGCGAGCGAGTTGAATTTTTTTTTTTTTTCACCTCCATCTACAGTTCACTTTTCTTTTTCACCTCCACCTACGGTTTACTTTTTGTTTCTCTTGGGCTGCTTACAAGTCCATGCATCATTGCTTCTGCCGTCTTTGACTTACAGCCGACCTTATGTATGAACCCATGTCGCGGTTTTTTTTTTTCAAATGATTCTCAGGCCTGCACGCTGTGCCCAAAAGGAAAAGATGTAAAAAAGGAATATGTTTGGTGGCTTTCCTGGCTATCGACCTAGGGCCTTCCTGCGCTGACCTGTCTACTTACGTGCCCTCAATACCGAACCCACAGAGCAGGTAATCCGATTGTCGCACTGAAAGGGCACAGAGCACCCGCAGCGAAAGGATCCCGCCATTCGGTACGTCAAAAATACTTACTTACTTCCGTACTGACTAGGTCCTCACCCTGGGTCGACTGAGGAAAGCATGCTAGCAGCATGCGTCCACATGCATGCAGGTTCATTCCCAAGCTTTTCCACCGATTCAAATTTAATTTTAATTCTGGGGCGAATCGAATTAGATGGTTGGGCATTGAATTACATCGCGCATCGTCTTTGGACGGATGCCCTTGGCGTCTGTACGTTTAATAGATTTTCACACTTGTGATGCGCCTCCTCCTCATTCCCCCGCGCAGTGCTATGTATGCACACACGACAGGTTCTGCGATAGCAGAAGGCCACTGTTCCACAACAGATTTTGGCATTACATTGGGAAGGCTTCACGGGGTATTGAAACGGGAGGCTTGCCCCGACTCACAACCATTACATGTGCGTACATGCTACTTGACCATCTGCGTCGTCGTGCCTGTCAAATTTCTAATCCCAACAAAAAAAAACCCGGTACATTTGCTGTTACCTGACATATGGGTGCCACAAAAGTACGGATCATTGATTGTCGTCATGTTCAAGTGCAAGTCCCCATCGTTCAAAAAGAGAAAGAGCACAGATAGAAGGGCATACATGGGTCCTCCGTATCAGAGACAAGCACCCGCGGCTCTTTTGAGAGGGAAGGCTTGCGCATGCTTACCCCCAGACTGATGCTTACTACGTACACAGTATGAAGAGCATAACCAGTCCCAAGATGGAAAGGAACGCTTGAGGCTGAGTACAAAAAAAGAACCACCATTCGCGGACCAGGGTCTCTGATAATAAGCTAGTCTTCTTATGGTAATTTTCCAGAAAATTACGAAGTAGAAAAAGAAAGTCGGTCCTTTCTACTTTGGGCTTCCTACCAACAATGTCAACCTTGCACACTAAGGTTGTATGTTCAGGGTATCTATTCGTTCACACAGGTCTTAGAAATATCCTGACTGTTGGCTGCAGCAGCAGGGTATCGGGCACACTACATACCGCAGAGTACCCTTCAGAAAGACATTCTTGGCTTGCAGAGGGGAAAAAGATTTGGGACATTTGACACAGACCGTGCCTCATCAATCAAATTGAGAAAGATGAGGAAAAAAAAGACACCAACTTCTGCAGCTCCTTCCATTTGGGATTCCGTACTAGAGCTGCACTAGATCTGTTCGGCTGCATACATGTGACGCATCTGCAAACCCCCAACGGCATGGCCATTGACCATTCGACCTACATACATACACTATGTAGGTCCTGCATACCCTTACATACATAGACGAGGAAAAGAAGGGAACACACCATCCGTCATCAAATTTCTAGGTGCATCGGAAAATACATCCAAGTCTATTCGAATGTGGTAAGTCCTAAACTAGAACTAGCCCTACGGCCTGAACTGACGAGCGAGCGTCACGAAAAAGAAAAAGGTGACACCCTTCCCTCCCGTTTCAGCAATCGAGGGTGTTCAGGATAACCATTCGTTCTTTCACCTCGTCACCCCCAGGAAAAACGTCAACGCCCGTTGCCTTGACCCAAATGCCCGCACGCCGTTTCTGTCAGGAAAAAGAGAGCCGGATTTTTAGGTACCGAGCCGTTTGTTTTTAGCGCCTCACCACCAGGCCGCAATGCCAACGACCTTGGACTGCACGCCGGCTGGCAACTCACCTAAATTTGAAATCTTTCGCATCTGCGATAAATTCAAACAAGGTGGCTGGTTGAACGATATCCTCTTACCTCTCCCCATGGCAATTGCCGAGCCAGCTATACATGCTGCTACTCTATACCTAACACCCACAGCCCCCGAGTGACCGTTGTTGCCTCATACACAGGTCAAACAGGCGACCAGAAACTTCCCACAGCTGCGCGGTTATAGCTGAACATCGAGGCGACAAAGAACAGGCTGCAAAGAATCGATACAAAAGTACTCCACATCTGAACATACATCGAAGAAATCTCCCACTTGAGATTCACAAGGCAAACGGCCAAGACTCCAAACCCTGCTTCCGGGCCCGAACTAGGGCCCTAACAGTTTGATGTTTTCGATTTGTGGAGCTCACAGCAAGCTGAGAATATCTTTATACTGACTTAACATACTAAGTACATACTTGTATACCTAACTTCAAGTATAATATCATCTATCGCAACAGGGTAAGTCAGAGAGTTTCGCCGCATTGCATTTTCAAATTGAATCAAGAGGTATGTGACCTAGCAAGTCAGGCAAGATTAATTAAACCCGCCCCCATCGATCATGCGATATCCCCAAATCCCGGTCGTCTATATCCCACATCGGACTTTTTCGGGGATTGACATACTTGCATACAAAACCTACCAATAATGATAGTTCGATAATCCTATAGCGTTTAACTAACTTTGAAGGTTTCGCCCGTCCGCCCTTGCATTTACCACAAGGCTTTTTCGTCTGGCAAATGACATGACGAGGATGATTCTTCCAAATGCAATGGGCGTCATGGTCCAATGTGCATACCTTTCTGATGCAGAGCCCTGTTCGTTTCATAATTCTGCTTTTCAATCGTGACTGACTGACACCGACCAGGAATACGTCAAGTTTTAACGAAAAGCTTTCCCTATATCGTAACAAGTCTTAGCTATCATCGTCAAAAAAATAAAATAAAATGAAATGAAATTGTAAAATAAATGTCTTAAAAATTACCAGTCACATTATCATCGATGGGCTCTGGGGATCGCTGTGCCAGCGAGCTCTAGCAACCCCCGGGAAGGGATAACATGAAACCAATGGACCTTTTTCTGGTCTCGTGGACAATTGAAATTAAATTTCGAGATCTATCTATCACTCTCTCTTCCTCTTTCCCTCGGCTCTTTTTTTTTTTGTCTTGCTACTACTGTTGCTTTTCAGTACCTGCATGGTATCATCTGACCGATGCATAGCAATTTTAGGATTTGGGAATCTAGATTCCCGTCCGACCTTGCAAAAATTCTGAAACCCAACCTGCAAAGCAAAGAGAGGGAAAGGAAAAAAAAAAACAATATTAAACCATCTAAAGATCGGTGAAGTTCGTTATCACTAAATTGAGCAATTGATCATGTCATATAATCCATGAAACAACAACAACCTCAAAAAAAAAAAAAAAAAAAAAAAAAAGTTTGAACGGACATAGTGCATTAACCTTCGACCCTAGTCTTTTTTTTTATTCCGTTCCTTACAAAGATATTCCTTGTTCAAATTCAAAGAAGGTTTTCCTAAACGCGAATATTTGCGTCGCCGACTGTCTCCACTGATTAAGTTAACAGCACTAGCGAGGAACAATAATCCTTGTGTAACATCAATGAACTATATGCGTGCAGAGTTAGTGCACTCACACTCACACACTCACACACACACCCCCCGATAATTATGATACGACGGCAACAAAAATATCAATAGTAATAATAGTATGATATCTCCCAAAAATATATACAATTGCCAAAGAGAAAAAGAGAGAGAGGGTATCACAGCCGGCCCCAGGACCACGGAACGAAATGCCATATTTGGGAAGATCTTTTGTTATTCTTGTTTGTTTGCCCATTCGTTTCGAGGAGCGAACCGGATAAATATATTCCTATCCATGTCCCGAAACATGGCTTTTCGATTCCCTACTATTTTTTTATTTTTATTTTTATTTTGGGGTCTCGCGCCGCACAGCCAGAAGATTTGATTTGCTTTGGCTTCGCTTTACCTTGCAATGGCTCGATCTTCCCCAGTTGTCGGGATTGCTCACAGACCGCCACCGTTGATCGACGAAGGAGAAAGAGAGAGTGTGTGCCTTTGCTTTGTTTCGTTTGTTCGGATTATTCCAGGTTATCCTGCGCTTTGTCCGCTGCCGGCGCTGCAATCTCCTTCCCCTCTTCTTCTTCCACACGTTTGTGAAGACCTCGGCCTGCCAATACGGTGCCCCTTAGACCTCCAAATGCCATAACATCCCCGATCCTCTGAACATTGCATAGTAGCATCACGAGTCGATCTAGACCCATCCCCCAGCCTCCAGTTGGCGGTAACCCCCACTCCAAAGCTCCAATGTAGCTTTCATCAACAGGCATCTCCGGCAAGACTTGTTCCGCCTCCTCCAAAATCTCGATTGGCAAGTCCTCACCTGCCTCTAATGCAGCAACAGCTCTGAATTTGTTCTGTTCGATAAACTTCCTTCGCTGTTCGAACGGTGAGTTCTCCTCTTCGTATAGGTTCGCTAGTTCCTTTCCTCCTATGTATAACTCGGCACGGTGTGCGACGAGTTGTCCGTCACTTTCTCGTCTGCTGGTCTTGGAGAGCGGTGATAGACAGGCTGGTATGTCTGTCAGAAACGTGGGTTGTATACACTCCGGTTCGAGGAACTCTGATGCGAGATAATCTAGTATACCCGGTAACGTACAGTTCACGGGTCTACCGATCTCATTATCATCGATGATCTCCAGTAACCGCTCTGTTGCATCCGGTTCGTCTAGAGTCGGTAGCCGACAACCTATCGCGTCCTCTATCCCACTGATAAAATCGATCTCACGGAAAGGCGCTTTGACTTCAATAGTCAATTCTCGACTACTATAAGCCTCGATGTTGGGAAACCGCTGAGGTCTAGCCTTTTCAAAGTCGCTGAATAAATTGACCAACATCTCCGTAGTCGTCCGTTTCAACCCTTCAATGTCGGTAAACGCCTCGTAGAACTCGCAGGTATAAAACTCGGGATTATGCGTCGCATCGGCGTTTTCGTTTCTAAAATTCGGACCAATCTCAAAGACTCGGTGGAGACCTCCAACAACCAGTCGTTTCAGCCATAACTCCGGTGCGATCCTAAGTTGCATCTTTTTGTCTGACCCGAAGACTTTCGAGGCGGTCTCGAAGGGCTTCGCAGCCGCGCCGCCGGAAAGTTCGGCGAGGATGGGGGTGGAAACTTCAACGAATTCTCTTTGTAGGAAAAAGTTTCGCATCCAGTTGATGATAAAGGATCGTGCTTTGAGGACATGCAGAGGAAGAGGGTTAACCATCAAATCCACATGACGGGATTGGAACCTCTTCTCCACATCCTCGAGTTCCAAAGGCGGGACATGAAGACAAGGCGACAAGGATTGTGGTAATTCTGTCGCGTAGATGGATATCTCTCCTGCCTTGGTCCTCCCGGGTAACCCAGTAATAGCTAGAATGGGAAAGCGGGCGTCGTTAGTATCCTTTTTTCCTTTTATATAGTCAAATAGAGGATGCATTTAGCTACCTATGATATCCCCTTTCTTCAGTTTCGAATGCGCACTATCAAAATCCGCACGCTCTGCCCCCGACCGGCCAAAGCTGCTCATAACTTGGATCTTGAACCCATCGGCAACAAGATCAAGGAACCTTAGTTTAGACGATGACTTGCGTATTGTTTTGATCCTTCCTTTACCCTACCCAAACACCAACAGTTAATATCATGCCACCCCAATATCACCTTCCTAAAAGAAAGACTTAGGGAACAGACCATAAACAGTTACTAAATGCTTCTCATCCTCCTCAATTGTCTCATTCCCCAAATAAGAGTATCTATCACAAAACTCTCTTATACTAACACGACGTTCAACATCCGGTTTTATCCTCGGATAATATTCAACATCGCCCCTTCCAGTCGCCACCTCTTCCCACCGGTCTTCAAGTACATTACTCTCCCGCACTTGAGCCGCTAAAGGACTAGCAGGCAACGGAATATGACTTCCATCTTGCGGTGCCGTCTGACTCAACAGACGACGTTGAAGAATATGTGAAGGAGAAGAAACAGAGGGCAGAACCCTTGACCTCACAACGGGTCTAAAAGAACGACAGCAGCAGACCCGTCTGCCAGTCGCGGCTATATACCTAGCCGGCAGTGACATTCTTATACAAGAGAGTGTGTGAATACGTCGCGGGGGAAGTGCCAGTCCACCACGCGCGTCAGACCCTACTACTACTCCTCCCATTTCCACGCCGGTTAGTCGGATGAAACAAGTTCGATCGAAGGAATCAAAGTGTAATTTGAATAGATAGAATGAAATGAAATGAAATCAGAGAGAAAAGCATGCGAAGCTTGTTCAAGTCACGCCCGGAAGAATAACCCTCCAGGTCATTCGCAACGGTTCTTGATATTTGGTACTCATCATAAGGGGGGTGGGAAGATGGGCGGTGAGAAATTGATCGTAATGTAACAGTACGAAGCATAATCCAATCCACATACCTATAACCGTCAGCCGCCAATCAAGGCTTTCTCCGTCGTCTCTGCTCTAATGAATCGTCGTGAATGTTTCTGTTCGAAGTAAAACTTGAAAGTCGCAAACGAAAAGGCTCGCTTATAATAATTTTTTTTCCCGTCCTGCCGTATCGATAAAGGAAAAAAAAAAAAAAGACCAAGAGGGTGACGTCCCACCGTGTTGAATGAAAGAGCCGCTTTAAACGAAAAACCTCGAAACCTTGGAACTTAGAACAAAAAAAACCCTCGCACGACCCAATCATAAAGAAACAACCAACAGCCTAGGACACCGTCGGAACCCCGATCAAATCTCTTCCCCAAACCGACTACCATTTCGAATTCCCTCGTCTGCCCTTTAACTCCTTCCAAAAACACCTTTCACGATGTCCATGTTCGGTTTCGGCGGGGTCCAGGGCCCCACATCTGCCCAAAAAATCGCGGCCGCTGAGGCAGAACTCGAGATGGTCACTGACATGTTCAATCGGTATGAAAGGCTTCAATTCAATTCATTTCTATCCATATTCCCATAGGATATAGAGATGGGTATAGAAAAAAAGAAGAAGGAGAAGCAGGAGAACTAACTTCCCGAGAATACAGTCTTACAAGCTCCTGCTTCAAAAAGTGCGTTCCAAAGGACTACCGAGAAAGCGAGCTGAACAAAGGCGAATCCGTCTGCCTTGACCGATGTGTCGCCAAATTCTTCGAGGTCAACGTCAAAGTCAGCGAGCAAATGCAGAGCCAAGCTGCATCGCGGCAAGGCGGTGCTCCTGGTGCCGGTGGCATGTTCGGAATGTAGAGAAGCACTCATTGAAACTCTCACATTACTTACCCTGTACCATCTTATCCGTTCGATGGATGAGTTTCGAAAACAAATATTTACATCATAACTCTACAAAATCCACCTACTCCTTCGTGCTAGGATACGAACGGCCTCCGGAATTGGAGGGTTAGGCGCGACGTGGCACGACATATACGATCTCAACTCTGGGCTTGCGAGGCCTGCATTGGAAACGGTTGGTTTCCAATGCCCGATCTAGATGAACAGCAGCTGTACATACATACACAAAAAGATTTATTCTATTGCATACCAGGGCTGTTGAAATGGTGTTAAGGTTTCTTGCTTGTGTACATGTATAATACGCAATAATCAATCTACATTAGCTCTCATTTGCATCCCTAAGCATAGTAGCATACAGGGCTTCTTAACAGCCTAAAATAATGGTAACCTTGAGAACGACGTTTGGGTAATTGATCCGGTGAAAGAGATACAGCTTTTTTGTATATTAATCAGACGCTGACTGCTAGAGTAACAAAGGCTTAAGTTTTATACACGGTAGAGTAAACCACCACCACATGCTCTACCAATCATTCCCGATATGCTCGACTAAAAGCTCCACGCCATATATGGTACTACAGAATTGAAATTAACAAAAGGTAGGGGAAAAGGAACAGGAAACGTCAAAACAAAGAAGATTTATTGGCCAGCGGGTGGCGGAACATGCCAGGCATTATTCCTTGGATCAAACCCCTGGAATCCTGGTGGGGGCTGGGGTCCGGGTGGGGGAGCCGGAGCGTGTCCGTTACCAGGCCCTTGCGCTGGTGCCTGTCCAGCCCTTCTTCGTTGTTGGTCTCGTTGCTGTGCCCTCCAGTTCCTGTACCATATCAAACCTGCAATCACGAACATGACTCCCAGGATTACCATATTCTCCACGAATTCTTCGTCCTCATCCCCGTAAAACTCATGTCCCGGGTCTGCCTGATGAGCTTTATCACCATCCTGACCGCCATGTGCGGCATCCGCCTCTTGGTCCGCGAACTCCCCAGGCCTATTATGTGTATACTGAGGCTTCTCGTCGGAAAACCACCGCTTTAGCCACTCCATCACAGTTACCTTTTTCTCCGGCTCCGGATCCGACCCAATAGCATTAATTGATCCACCGGTAACAGTATTCCAAAAGCTCCTTACTCTCAACCTCACTAGACTTAGCGTAACCGGTAGGTATGCTTCGGTATTCGTCTCCAACGCTTGGTCATAATACCGTTTCGCAAGGTGGTAGTCCTGTCCGACACCGATTCCGTTCTCATACATCCAACCAAGATTCCACAATGCTTGTGCGCTCTGCGTGAACTCGGATGCAGCAGTATAACAAGCCGCAGCCTTCTCAGCGTCTGCTTCAGTTCCCACCCCGGCAAGATAGTAGTCGCCCATTTTGACGTAACTGTCGATATTCTGCTGCTTAGCGGATCTCGTCCAATACATCAAGGCCAACTCTTCATCCAAGGCATCACTGTGCCTGACACGCCACCAATCCAACGGAAATCGACTCTTCAATTGGTCGAGTAGGTAAGCAGTATTCGCCTGGCCACTCTCATAGCCTTGTTCTGCCGCCATCATGAATCCAATGATAGCTACGTCCTTGTTGCCGCTCTTATACATCCGGTGGGACCATTCAAGCGGTGCTTGCAGAGCCTCTACCTTCTCGGCAACGTGCTTAAAATATAGCGTGGCCATACCACAGCTCCTTTCTCGCCCATTTCCTTGGTTATTGATCTCTGCTAGGTAGTAATATGCTTCAACTTCGCCATGGCGCGTAGCTAACTCAAACCACTTGTTCGCGATAGCGTACTCGCCTTTGCCGTAGAAGATTTTACCAATAGCAACTTGGGCCGCACCATGGTCATCCTCGGCCGCTGACTTATAGAGTTTGGTTGCTTTCTCCGCATTTTTCTCCAAGCCTGCAAGACCGTGCTCGTAGAGATAAGCCATCCCGTGCTGTGATACTGTATCGGACTAGATCGTAAAATGTTAGCAGCTAACTCCCCTGTTACCGGAATTTGATTAATCACAAACATATTTCAAGCCCCTCGCAAACCATCTCCTCGCGAGGGCAAAATCCTGGGGAACGGCTTCTCCTCTCAAGTACATCCTCCCAAGGTGCCCTGCTGCCTTCGCAGCAACCTCGATGACGGTATCTGATGGATCTTTGACCTCTTTACCATCCTTAGTCCACATCTTCTTAGCCAACTGGAAGTACAGATCCCGAGCCTTCCTAAGGTCACGAGCGAGCCCTCTAGGCCCGTCGTAATACAGTTTGGCAAGCTGCTGGGTTGCAGCTAGATCTCCTTTGTTGCTTAGCAGTAAGAGGTACTCAATGATATCGTCGATTAAGGAGAGCGAATTATGATCGTTTCTTTTTGATAATCGGCCGGTGTGTCCAACGCTAGCCCCAGCGCCATAGGTACCACCTATTTCGTCGACGATTTTATGGTTGTTGCGTGGAAGATAGTGACCACCTGGTGGCCCGGAATGGTAATAAGCCATTGCCTTGTCGGCGACTCGTTTGTAGAAGAATGCTGCTTCCTCGCAATTCCTAGGTGCGCCGATTCCAGCATGGTATCGGTAGGCTAGCGTCATTTCTGATCGAGCATTCCCTCCGAGGGCAGCGAATGTATGATACAACAATGCCTATAAATCTTTCAGCACAATGCCGTTCCAGCATTCAACGTTATTCAACTGACCTTGCCTTGGTCTTTTTGTATGATGCCACCATAGCCAGTCGCATACAAAAAGCCAAGCATGCTTTGAGCCGTACTGTTTCCCGTAAGAGATGCCAGTTCTTTGTAGAAACCAAATGCTGTTGCGGTATTCCTTGGGTGCGACCAATTGCCATACTAAACCACCATATCTGTTAACCATACATCTTCCATACGACTTGGTATCCCCCCTAGAAAGCCACCTACGAAGTTCATTTCCGCCAACAGATACATCGCATCCGGGTTTTTCATCGACAAAGCCCTCATAAGTAGATTCTCCGCCTCAAGGAGCGTTTTGCTCATCTGTGCCGGAGCACTTCGAGCCTCTCCATTCAACGGTTCTTCCTGTGTCGGAACATTGGCAACGAATAAGAAATCCAGCGTCGTCTGGAGCCAGTATAGACCCTGATGAATCCAATACGATGTTGAATCCTTGCGTCTTGAATTGGATAGGGGTGGACGGATGGTATTTAAGAGCTCGAGGGCCTCGGTGACATATTGTTGGGCTATGTGTAAGATAATATATCAGTTCCCATTTCATACTACGTGGAAAATGCTGGGATGGGCATACATTCAGCTCCCTCGGGTTGATCTTGATTATCGATAACATCGTTTAATATATCGCCGTGTCGTACACCGAACGGTTTCTGAACGTCCCGATGCTCCTAACAACTACCTGTTAACACCAAATGCTATTCAAAAACCTATACAATGGCTCGTGGGAATGGACATACCGGTACGGGTTCTATCGCGTGAGCTGCAAGCGATAGCGTGGAGAGAAACAAGACTACCTCGCGAAAGTATAGTATTAGCCACACGAATTCCCTAAACCAAACGAAACCTAACTTGACGAAGCGAATCCCACGTACAGATATAAACACCATATGGCCGTTTTCTCGCCATCTTTTCTCTCTTCCCTTCAAAAGCTTCGGTTCGTGGTAGCCAAACAATGCTGTTATATCCCTCGAAACAAACCAGTCCAGCTGTGAGTTATAACGAGCCTCTCGCCAATAGGCTACCGTCTTTGATTGACCATGAATGAACGGGAAGTCTATGGATGAGAGTGAAATAGATGTCGGATGGAATTCCAAGGTACGCGATCCGAATTCTGGAGTAGCTGGGCCAAGAGCGAAGTGGTGATGATGGTAAGTTGGTGTTAGTAATGTCGCTGGGTCTCAGCGGGATGAGGAAAGACGACACAGTAGCTACAAAGAGGCGGTTAAGTAAGACCGAATTGAATGACGTCCAACTTGACAACCGCGCAACACATTTTTGGTCAATCAAATACCAACAGGACGACAGACTACGTAGCACCAAAGCCGTAGCCACAAGATCGGTACTCCGTAGAAAAGGCGGGTATGAAATGGGACGGCGCTCTTGCATTCGGTTTGATGTTTAAAAATGTTATTCATTCTCTGGTGTTATTTAACTAGTACTTAAAAACTACTACTCGGTATAGGCTATGTTTATGCTAGATGATATCCTACAATTAGGGAATAAAAAAGCAGAAGGGGGGACATATATGACTTTCTGAGAGAGGTGAAATCGGTGCGGTACGGGACGGGACGAGACAAGGGGAAAACAGCAGACTGGTTCCCATGCTATAAATGAATAAACTAGACAATACAAACTACGAAAGGGAAGTAAAGCGTTTAAAACTAGTACTAAGCAGGAGAACGGGAAATATGAAAGGTAATAAAGAAAGGGTTGCGAAATGGAGAAACGATCCGGAATTAGAATGATTTTGGGCCCGAAGGTGGATGGGTGTTATGGATAGATCCGAAGAGTGAGGAACGTGCCGACAACATGGGTAAGGTGATGATGATACACCACGCACGCTAACATTTGTATAAAGAAAAAAGAAAAGATAAGGAAAGGAAAGGAAAAGGAAAGAAAAAAAGGGAAGGAAGCAAGAGAAAGCCAAACCAGGGAAACCACAGGTTTTGAAACTACTGAGGCTAGGGGTAAGCGGATATCCAGATGAAAACCGAAAAAAACGGTTACGCTTAGGCTAGAATATCGCTGGAGAAGGCAGGCTATAAGTATCGCTATCTCACGAAACCGCCCATTTGCAGCCAAGTGTACAGTTGAGGTGAGGTGTTAAGGTTTTGAAACAAAGGAAATAAAATGATAGAAATGCTTTGGAAAGCGGAGGTTGCCTGGCACCAGGCGGCGAGATGGAAGACGCTATAGCGACGCCGAAGCTGTTGGAAACAAAGGAAATAAAAGTGTTACAAAAGGTCCATAATAAAACAAAAGCAGAAAGGGGAAAGGTAGTCGAAGGCAACGCGAGTTTCTTGCTCTATGGAAACAATCATTAATCTATGAGACGCCGGTCCCGGTGTAGTAAGAAACGATGTTCCATAAATACAATCCGTTGCAATATTCGGGTACGAAAACCGTGGGATGCCCGGGAGATTTCAGATGACTAGACGTTGCATGTGAAGGGCGTTAAGAAGTATCTGTACAAAAGTCGAAGATGGCAGGTGCTGGTGGAAACACAGAATGTGCAAAAGCAAGAAGGTTTAGATCATGATCGTCCAGAGGGTGTATATATCGGGCTGCTGCCGAAATATGCAGAAGATTATAGAGAGACATCCAAAACGAGACTAACGTCTCGAACTTGGGTTGTTGCTAGATCCTCTAGAACAGGGATGAGGTCCAGCAGTTCATTATCATGGGCGTCAGAGAACCAGCTGCTTACGGGGAGAGCATGCTGCGGGTGGAAGATGTAAGAGGTGGGAGAATTGTCGATGATTATAGTATCCTTCAAGTCACGTCCGAGTTGAGAGAGATCCTATGTTGCGTCAGCCAAGAGTTCTAAGAGGGCAGTTTGTCATCATATCAGAATTGTATACCTTGACGTAGTTGCCTTGATGGTTGTAGCAACTATCTCGGAAGAGACGGTGGTGGACGACAGAGTGAATGTCGAGTTGGTCAAGAAGCGGGTCGCCATACTAGATTTATAGAAATTAGCATTCCAAAAGTTAAACAGTTGAGGGCGTTCATAGGTCGTACCTTAGAAACAGACGCGGTAAAGACAACAACTTCATAGAGTTCTCCAACCCTCTTCATGAATTGATCCACACCAGGCCGTTTTATGACATAGATGTTATGATAAGATCCTTCAATTTCGACGGGTATAGTGAAGTCCGGTTGTTGGAGCAGTTGCTATAAGACAATCGAGTTAGTATCGGATGCAAGAAAGACTGTCAATATAGTAGCATATTCACTTGACGTACTCTAAAACTGCTATGTACCAAAGTTTCGTCCAAGTCTAGTACGAGGCATTTCTTGCCAGTGTGTTCTGGGGCAATTGGTGGAAGGAGCCACTTGGATTTTTGATCCTCACTCGGCAAAATCTCAGCGGGAACGGGAACAGGGACCATGCCCACATCTGCGGCGCCGGTCTCCTGGTTCAGCGAGTCAGCATCCGAGTCGTCTGTCTCTATTGGCGTCGTTGGTCGGACGCTAGATGTCGACTTTCGCTTGTCATCACTCGGTATCGAGGCGGTGGTAGCGGTGGTGGTTACTGCTGGCAAGCTGGTTTCATCAGATTTACCCTCATCTGGATGCGGTGTAGGTGGAGTATGTGTGACAGAAGGTCCGCTGGGATATTCTGGTTCAGTGGTAGTTGTCGATGTTCCCTGGGTTTGTTGCTCCTGGATTATCGCCGGCGGTAAGAGGTTGTTCTCCGGCGCTTCAGGGGCTGGAGGAGGCGGGGTTGTTGGCATCTCCGGGGCTCGGGGAAATTTGGCTTCTCCATTAGTAGATTCGGTAGAGGACTTGGCCAGTGATGGTTCTTCAGCCTCTTTTGTCGGTAAGGTCGCTGGCGCAGATGGAGCCTCTTCGGCTGGGATAGGGACCTTTTCGTTGAGTTTTGTCTCCTGTTCCTCCTTTGGTGGCGGCGGGGGAGTTCCGGCTCGTTCCTGTTCCTTCGACTTTCCAGCGGTAGCCTCGGCTGGCACTCTCGCCTTGTCTCGCGGTTCGGTGCGTGGTCTTTCTGCCTTTCTCGCGTTCTCGTCGACACCTCCTGCATATGAATCCGGCGCCCGGCAGCATCCTAGCAGAGAACTGAAGAATTTCGAGGCACTGCCCTGTTTCGGCTTCTGGCTTGACCTTATGCTCGCTCCGTCGCCCCTTCTTCTTCGCTTAGAACCCTTTGCGGCCTCGTTCTCTTCCACCAGACTAGCATTGTTGGCAGTCGTAGCTGTAGACGTCAGAGATGAGTGTTGATTCTTTGAATTTGGACGAGAAGGAGAAAGTAAAGAATCCTGGGGTTTTGAAGACGAGGAATCGGCGAGAGGCATACCCGAGTCTGTGGGCTGAGCTTGTGACATCTTCGCGGCCTTTTTTATGTTCTCTTCTCTTTTCAACTTAGGCAGGGAATGGGATTTCGAGTTCCTGCGAATACCACGTGCAATATGTGCCCTTTAAGGAGCGAGGATTCCCGTATTAAGGGGATTCTGTGATCTAACCGTTAGCGATTCGTCGCAATTAACGAAAATGCGTATGGCAGGCTGTCAAAGCGCATCCGGAAACGGGGTTAGTAAAATTGAACGCACCTCCGCAGCCCCGTCCGACTAGGGGATGAATAAAGGATGAGATGGCCGGGGAAATCGTTGCGAACGATGTAGTTCGAGTCACAGATCCTGAAAAGTCGCGTCTGAGTATCTCCAATTCGTACCTAGAGAATTCCTCGAAAGCCTGTGCGATTTAAGGGAAAAAGAAAGGGGGATAAGAAAAAATAAAAAAGGGAAAAAAGATCTATAATGGAGTCATCACAGTTGTATGTTGTTAGTTAGAATGTTCTCTCGAAGTTTAAACTCACGCAAGCGGCAGGAATCTGAAATCAACACTCTCGAAATTGAAACAGTGACAAACACGGGTCAAACGACGGACCATGCGAAACACCGTCGTCTACTGTCTTGCTGCGAACACGTTGAGGTTCGAATTGCAGATCGGAGAAGAGTAAGTTTAAGTGAACAAAGCGTGGTCCGCGATGCGGTTGCACAAAACGTTTCGTCCGGTTCTCCCTGGTGGCTCCGGTTATGTGGACGGGAATGGAAAAATTAATTCCCTCTAGAGAGGGAAAGAAGACGAGGATGCGAAACGTACAGTCTATGCTTTTTCTCTCTCTCTCTTTCTTTTCTTTTCAGGCTTGATAAGATATTCACCCAGGTTCTAGAGCCAAGCGATAGATTTATCCGATGTCGGAAGAGGATGATGAAGTCGCGATGAGATAGTCGGAGAGGTAATGGGAGATAGAGATGAAAGGGGTTAGGTTGATGGTGATGGTGATGATGATGATGATGGAGATGGTGAGAAGAGAGGTTGATGAAAAGATGGAAGTATCGGGACCGCCGTTTGTGCTGCGGAAATGGGCCAAAAGCTGAGAGTTGGAACCAAAAGCGTAGGTGGAAATGTAAGTACGAGAACCACAGACAGAAATACTATCAAAGATGAAATAAAATAAAAAAATAAAAATAAAAATAAAATAAAATGAACCTTATACGAAAGAAATAATATAAAAAAAGTATAAAATAGAAGATAGAAGAAGACAAGAGGACAAAAGAGTGTGTATAGTTTGGAAGAGGGGGGAAAAAGAGTGTAAGGTAAAGTAAAATAAAGTGAAGTGAAGTAAATTAAAGAGACGGACAATAGCCTGTGATCAACCTGACCCGGGGGACTATTACTTCTCCTTTGAACGAAGAGAAACAAAATACACGAACGAATGCAAAAAATAAAAATAAAAAAGCGATACTTTTCGTTTTACCGGCGGCGGGGGAAGAAATTAGGGTGAAGCCGACCGCGAAAAACCCAAGAAAACAACGGGAGATGGTGGAGATGTCAGAGGGAGGAGGAGAGTGGAAGGGAAGAATGAATGAATGAATGAATGGCAGATGATGATGATGGTGGTGATGATGATGGGGGGATGGATGAGGATGAGGATGAGGATGAGGGTCTTACAGAACGAACGAACTCCGTACCAGAACCAGCACCAGAACCAGAACTAACTCCCAGAACGAACTCCCAGAATCACGTTGGCAAACCCAGAACAGACGTGGGAAATGAGGGAAAAACGAGAGGCACTCTGCGCAATCAATCAATGAGTTAATCAATCAATCAATCAATCAATCAAAGACAATAATGAGATTGTTGGTTTTCTGAGGGTCAGGAAGACGGAGGAAATTAAGGGTGGCCTAGGCGTGTCGCTTATTTGCCTTCAGCACTTTCCTTCTGGCTGGTTGGCTGGACACCCCGGATTCTCTCAAAAGGTAATGTACCGCAGTATACCCCCCCAGGTCAGGCCTCAGTCCGCTGTTTGTCGAAGGATATTCCAATCAATCGATCAATCGATTAATGCTGACTACCGTTGAACTAATTGCGCCAGGCCAACCCCCTCAAAGCAAACGGTCTCTGTGGGAAAAAGAAGATATGCTGATATCGATGGTGATGGACGACAACGATGGTGATGATGATGCATGCATTCGGGGATAGCAGCGGAAACAAACAAAAAAAAAAAAAAAAAAAAAAAAGGAAATCCGCTATCTTACCTTACCAGACTATCGGACTACTGTGCAGTGATGAGAAATGCCAAAGCGACAGGTTGCAGTGCAGGCCAACGAGGCACTGGTATTGGTCCTTCCTTCTCGCAGTAGCGCAAAGATAATATGCAATCCTGTCCAACTCGACACAAACGGTATCCTGCGAGGCTCTGTTGGATCGCCCGACGACACGCCTCGCCTTTGGGTTTCGATGTCTTCGATTTTGATTTTATTCGAAAGAAAAGAAAAAAGACTCTCTTTTTTTTCCTTCTTCGACAGATAATATCGATGTGCGCAATCCTCAGAAAAATCCCCCCTTAGCGGCTAATTATCCAGAATTACCCCCAAATTCAATGCGACGGATTCCCTGGGAAATTCGGTCTCTGACAAAGAGAAGGGAAAAAAAAAAAAAAAACGTGGAAGCAAGTCAAGAGAAATTGAATGCTTGGACAGGTGAACCCAAGCGAAATAAGGTTGGGTAGAAGGGGGACCCGTGGTCTGTGATACTGCACGGCATGGGCTACATACGATCCTTAAATTGGCTCCAGGAAAGTTACCCGCTACTTTGCATCTGTAGCGGACTAGGAAGTCGATAGAAGGAAAGGAAAGGGAAAAAAAAAAACGTTCAGACTCGCAGCCACGGTTTTGAACCGAACGCACGGGATCTTTTCCTCTCAAGATTAACTTAACTGTCTTTCGAAGCCAGTCCGCTCGGGTCAGTCGCCTGAAGTTTGACGTGGAACGGAAGAAAGCTGCGAATCTAACTAGTGGCTGTTATATGTTTTATGTACCGATATTGTACTGCGAAAGTACCACCTGAATTTAATGAATTCATGAAACAAATATCCAAATCTCAGAGAAACATTTAAAATCGATCTGTCGGAGTGGGCTCTTATAACAGGATGGATTATAGATCATAGCGACCCGTCCGTCGCCTTACATGGAAGAGAGAGAAAGATATTAAATAGTATATGATCTATCGAAGACCATGCCAGATGCATATCCGTCACCGGGAGTGCATTCCCCTTTAGCGGCCTCATTGCCATAAACAATCTTTCGAATTCAGCGCCCCTGGTTGTCGCAATCGAACAAGTTCAGGAACCCAAATCAACCTTACTATTTCCAATAAATCAAGCTTGCAAGGCTTTGTTTCCTTTCTAAGTATTTTTAATTCTTCAAATGGCGCCGTCATACTAATTACATGCAAACCACAAAGTTCGCCTGCTCGGAATTCCCCCAGAGGTAAAGTACCTTATCTCGACTACATGAAGAAACATCGACAGCCTCACCGCTATCACTTTTTATTTTTTATTTTGGCTGCCACACCTCTCCACAGTTCCAAAAATCCATCAACCAAATTTCACACTTACAAGACAATACTATGAACGCTTCGCAAAAACCCCTGTCAGACCTCTCCACCTTTATCCAAAGAGGGTTGAGCGACCCAAGACAGCATTCCACTTCAGCAAGCCACAATATGCATCTCCCAAAGCCCCTTGTCCAACGGGCTTGACTGCCGTACTGCCTTCGCCGAAAAGAAACCCCACCTAAACCCCAAAATTGGAAAGCACGTTCTTTCCCACCCGCCACACTGCTAGCCGCCCAGCGGGATGATCCAAGTAGCCAAAAGTACCAATCATGTACTCCCATTTTTCCCTCGAATTCCGAGGGGGAAGGATAACCATGTCGAGCAAAATGGCATCTTCAGATACTCCGTACTTTTTTTTTCTCTTTTGCCGCAACCTAACAATCACCTCTCCCCTTATTTGGTAGGTAATACGACCACTGCAGGCTGAAGGATTTATGTTTGTAGATGTGCCATGTACCGCGCACATATGTGCAACTACTACCGCTCCGTAACAATCTGCAATTGTAACATCGGTAGACACAAACTAAGAAGGGCTGAAAAAAAAAGGAAGAAGAAAAAGGCTTTCCATATTCCGTAGGAGACAAAAGAGACGGAATAGAACTTACGAATCCTCGTCCCTCACCCCCAGGCAAAAAAAAAGTGGGGTACATACATAGCAGATAGATGTCTATCGAACCCTCGACCCTTCCCGGCCAGCTTTTCCCAAAAGAGAGAGCGCCATGGTCGCTGTGGGGAAACGAAATCTACGTTTGTATCTTGCAGATCCGAACAAAAAAAAGAGACACCACCCAAGAAAAACTCAAAAGTTTAATCGAATTTCTGGGGATAACCTATCCATTTTGCCGAATCAGCCTGGGATCGATCCTCATCACCGTGACCATGAAAAGAGCCCCTCCCCTCTCCTTATGTAAATCGTACTTAAACTTGAGAGTTTGATACTACACATACAAATATGAAGGTGATTTCCGGGGGAGGGGCTTTGCTTTTGCATCTTCAAATCATGCAGAGCAATGTTGTCAAATTCTTAGCTAAGACTTGGCCCTCTCTCTCTCTCCCTTTCGTTTTCCGACCAGCCTCTCTTTTCCCCCCCAATTGCAAATAATTAGGATTCCGGATGAACGGCGAGCGAGAATATCACTTTCTCCGTTCAGCGACAAGAAAAAAGTGATTGTTTCCCTTTCTTTCTTTCCAGTTAAGCTTATTTGTGACATTTGCGTGGGTGGGCCTAATAATAAGAATAATAATAATAATCATGTGTCAAGATTGGTTCGCTTCGTCAAGAGAACTGCAAAGCGCCAGTAGAACGGTTTTGATAATCATCTTGAATGCAAATACGGTCTTTTGACTAATGCATTACTTGCATGAAGTTTATCAGCTGAAGCTTACAGGACTTGATCTATTGGTGCAGATATATGAGGGGTCATGCATGCGCACTGAGATGTGAATAGGGAAGAAAGAGAAGAAAGAATTAAAAGAGTATTTTAAAAGAAAGCAGGAACTGTGGGAAAACTTTTTTTTGTATTCGAGCAGAACTATGCAACATCGTATTCAAGTACCCGTCTTGGGTTATTTTCCGACTTTCCTGCTAAAACAAAAAGTGACAGTAGGTTAGAGGGCCATCCCAGTGATTGTTCCCCAGATATATATATATAATTTTGCCGCGATCACCGAGGGGTACATTTTTGAATTCGGGATGGAACACTCTGTGGAAATTTCACGAGATCAAGAGTCTTGAGTTGTGTTGGTAGATAGTCGATAGGAAAGAAATGGATAGTCTCGAGACCAGAAAGATATCTAAATCATAGAGAGATCTTCTCTGCTTGAAACCCTCGATGTATGCATCGATGTTCCGAGATTTCATAAAAAAAATGAAAGGAAAAATTTTAAATCCCGCGAAAACGAAAATCCGACTTTCTTTCAAGAGGCACCAGTTTTATCTCCTTTCTATCTTTTAATTGTCGTTCACGTTCTCGGCCTTGTTCCGTACCAAATTTAAAGAGATAGAAGGGAAAGTCGAAATTTTCCGTGACGATAACAGGGTCCCGGATCTCCGGCATCTAGCGTGATTGCCCGAAAAGTACTCCGTATGGCTACAGCACTATCAGAAGCCGAATTCTTCGTTAACGCAAACAAAGAAGTCGTAGCGATTGCGAATGCTATCATATCTCTTCGCAGAGGAAATATTATCGTCATTTACTAGAGATCGATCAAAATATTGTGTTGAAATTAAGGGGAATTCCTATGAACAAGTTAAGAAAAATTCTACGAAATATGGATTGTTTTTTTAGAAAAGAGTGAAAAATATCGATTTGAATGTCTCTCAAACTAAGCTAAGCTAAAGACTACTTGAGAACATGATATTTTTTTTTGTCATCCCATTTCTGATAAAAAAAAATCTGCTTTTCCTCGCCAGTATCTATCAAAACATTTACAGTCCCAGTCCCTCCAAGGATATCACAATTGTAAACCACAAGCAAGCTAGCTAGAAAAGGGAAAAAAAGAACTCCACCGAAAACGCTGTCATAGTCCGCCGTAACATAAGAAATATGATGCAGAAGAAAGAAGAAAACAATCGTACAAGTACAATAAGAGTAGCCTCCTCGTGAACTCCACAATGAAAGAAGAGTTTTGAATTTTTTTTGGTCATGAAGAAATAAGCGACCGTGGTATTATGAGAGTAAAGGAAATAGTGATCGGGAAACGCCGGTTGGTCGTATGATATTAAAAAGTATGATAAAGAAAACTACTTTGCTAGAAGAGCGCGAAGCAGTTTACTCCTCAATGGCGTAGTCATCCTCGCCCTCCTCACCGCCCCAGTGGACTGGGTTAAGCTTGAGGAACCTGAGTCGGCGACCCTCGCTGCTGGTGGAGCTGACACTGGTGCTTCGTCGAGTCTTGAGGACCATTGGCTCAACTGGAAGGATAGCTGCGGATGGACCAAGCTCTGGAGAGGAAGCGATGGCTTCCTCGTTATCCTTGCTGTAGGTCATGATGGTTGCCCGTTGTGGTCTTGGAGCAGATGGGTAAGACTCAGAAGTAACTGGAGCCAAAACGAGGAAGTTGGATGGTCGTCGCTGTCTCAAGAACCATGGGGCAACAGCGGGTTCCTCGGTGAGGGCGAGGAAGGTTGATTCCCTGCGGACCATGGTTGCGTGGTGAGAGAGAGCCGAGTGAGGAGTGTGGATTGGCTCGGATTGAGTTGGGACGAGAGTTTGGAATTGCATTTTGAAAGATGAAGTTTGTTTTTGTTTTGTTTTGAAGTTTGAGTATTAAAGTGAATATCGAGATATGAATATTATACGGTTGAAAGGCTTCGACTTGCGACAGCTAGCTATGCTTATAATTATACAGATGAAACTTTTTATTGGTGATATCTTCGTTGAAAGGACTGTAAGGACCGATAGATGTTATTGATGATTTGGCTTGTTGGTAGAGAGGCTACTGGTGAAACTGAAAAAATAAGAAGGAAGATGGAGGGTAGGAGGGGAGGTTCTTATAACTTTCGAGGAGAGCTCCAAGACGAAAAGTTCTTTCCCCAGGTAGTGGTGGTGGTGGTGTAGTAGTGGCTGTAGCATCTGATCACCAATTCGGCGTATGGCCATTGCCATTGCATTGTATGCAAGAAAAAGGAAAACTTCCCCCACGTAATGGCACGAAGAGTTCCGCAACCTTCTTTCATTTAGCGTTTGAAAATTCCAGGGTGGTCGGCTTGATGCAATGCGCTAAGAAAGACGAGACCATCTATGAGGTCACGTTGTACCCGTTGTACCGGACGAAGGCGGGGGATAACCTTAATTCCCCTTTTGAATTTCAAAACCCCGTCGCAACCGCAGAGAATTCGCAACAGCGGTCTGGAGTTAGTCGATGTTAGACGGTCGTTTCTGTCTAAGATTCAAACAACGGAGGAAAAAGGGCAAGTCGTTACTATTTCCAGGCGGCAGTGGAACGCTTGGCTGTGCGAATCTACAACAGAGAGGTTCTTGGACTTGCCAACTTCAAACAACCGTGATCATCGACGGCGAGGGGGAGGCTGTACATGTAAAAGTACCATTCCTCTGTTACAGCGGCGAGGTGATATGGGAAACCAAGGGAATTAGCCAAGACGAAGTATCGAAGCCGGCGAATGGAAAGACACAACAGAGCGAACTGACCGTCTATTGGCCTAGAAAAAAAGGTGTGCCAATTAAGAAAAATGCAAGTGAATCCTCTGCTGAGGCTGGCGAAAGCGAACGATGGTCGATCGGACGCAGGCAACAGTTAGTGTGTGACGCTAGCCCGCCGCCGGTTCTCCTTGTTCTCCTTGGAGGTGGTGATAGTCCTGCCTTTTCCTGATGGTGTTGAGCCAAAATTGCCCAATTCTTAAATTTCCTGCCGGAATTCAAATACAATACGGGCCAAACTCCTGGAGCTCCACACCCACACACACCTGCACCTGTTGTTCTCCAGTCCGTTCGCCCTGCTTGGTGCTATTCTGTCGCTTCAGGGATGCGAGCAGCAAATCAGGACATCCCTGGTGGGACGGAACCCCGTCATTGGTCCCTCGTGCATTTAAGCTTATCAGTGAACGGGGGCCACTGACGTTTAGCCCCAGCGTCATGATCCAACCGACTCCCTCGGAGGCAAATGCCATCCGATCGAGGTTCACACCACTCGCACGTGGTGGTCCAATCCAGATCTCTCCCAGCAGAGTTCACTGGAACTTTCCATGGGCCAATCCATTCCTCCCTTTTTTTTTTTTCTTCTTGGTTCTCAGGGTCCTCAGAGCTCGCGGAGTCGGATTCTGGTATTAACGCCGGGCATGATGACGCTGAGGCGGCGCATGATCGCAACGACTCTGGGGTAATCACGACGCGGTAATCGGCTGTTTTGTCAGCCTTCAAATTATCAATACAGATTTCCAATCAACTTCCCATCGATGCAAGGGAAACCTTTCGAAATAATTAATTTTTCTGTTGAGAGCCTCGGGCTTTGTGGGTTTGAACCCCGCGGTAGCCGGGAGCTCGAGACCTACATAGCTGACGACAGTTTCTGTTATCAAATTGCTTATTGCCCAGTCTGTCCCCCCACAGCATTGGCTAGCAGGAATCCTGCGCAGATATGCAATCTTTCATGCATGTAATGGTCCATGGCTTTGTCTCTCTGGCCTCTTCTCCCACAGATGTCACACGAAATATGTAAGTACCATGAAAGCCGACAACCTTTTTCCCCCGTTAAGCTTCTTCAGGGTGGGGCCTGTTGCATATCTTGGCTGTATATCATTGGCCGTCTTTGTTTAGCTCTTCTCCTCTCTACCAACTGCCTAGTCCAGACCGACCTATATCGGTGCGCACGGCACAATGTCGAACCGGCTGAACTGAATCTGTTATGCAATTAGTTGACATCCGACCACCCGGGCTATAGAAGCCGGCTCTGCTGAAAAATTCAAGGCGGACCTTCGGCCTACCGACCCTCTTTTTCTTTTCGCTTGCATAAGCCTAAAAATGACTCCGCAAACCCCGTGTACAAGCCTCGTAGCCGAGAGAATTTCAGTCGAGAGCTCTACCGACAAAATTTTCGGTGCGTGCCGACAAGAGGGAAAAAAAAAAAAAGTTTAGCCACAGGGAAAAATTTTTGTTGAAAAAAAGAAGACCTGCAACCTTTGTGTTCCTGTTGGAAAATTTGCTTTCGAACTTGAAAGGCCATTATCATACCATTCCAGCCGCAAACAATCATGCCCAGGCGGCCAGATGCACAAAAGACCGTCGATGTACCCACCCCAACCCTGTAGACGGTCGATTCCTTGACGCTCGAAGTCCTTCAGTGATTTTCGTTGACGGGAAATTGCGGGGTACCCTGGTATGATCTCACGGAACATATACCTCGACCTGTGTAACTTTGCATCCACCAACCCTATCTACGACCGCGAAATTGCTGTTCTGAGCATGTGTGGATCTCTGTGCCGAAAAGCATCTACATGCCCTATCCTTACTCGGCATGGCACGGCTGGTTTTATTATTTTGTGAACACCATTTCAAACCCGTTTTTGAGTATAGTGGGGATTAAAGGATATCCAATGGTAACATTTGGGTACTCAATGATGTAGTGGGCTATTCGTCATCGACCGCTTCAAGCGCAGATTAGGATAATCCCAGCGATCGCTTAGTGGGGAACCATGCAGCAGCAAACAAACCATGAAAGGGCACACATGTTTGATAGGCAAGGCTATTATGGGAAAAGGCAGATAGTCAGGGCTTACGTGAAGGTGGGGACTTCATGTGATTCCTTGCAGTGCATACCCAAGACCAATGTCGATTGGTTTCCCTTTCAATATGACGGTCATATTTTCAAATGCGTCGGTGGCGGTTCAAGGCAATGGAGCTCTACTTTCGTGAAGGTCAAATGCTTTGGACACGAGTTTGTACTGTCTTTCATTGAGCGTACGACCTTTCTCGGGAATTTCGGCTTCCTTCTATGGAACATGTGTGTCCCGATTCACTTTCGAACACGGCCCGGATTGGATACCGGCAACAACCCGATGTCAACTGATATCAAGGACCCGAGACCGCGGTAGGGTTTTCGACAGCCAAAGACACCGGAGCAAGTCCGAATAAACTTTTTTTCCCTTCCTGATAGGCACAGGCTTCTCCGCATTTTCCAGGCCCACCTTGTCTTACATAAAACGGCTCTGCTATAATCTGGCTTGCTTTTTGGCTGCTGTTTGTATCGGAATCGGGTAGCAAAAATAACGCAACGGGAGTTTTCGCTCGTGTACCTTGCAGGGCCCAGCTGTGGAAATGATGTCTGACCTTGGAATGGTGAGGATTTTTTTAATTCCGAGGTGTGGGCTGTGGTTTTGTGGCGGTTTGGCCTGCTTTTCTTGATAAGGACTATCCCGAAAGGTTCTGATATAAAAAAAAATTTCCCTTGCATATGTCACGAGAGTGGAATGATCTTTTGATAGACGGTGATATTAAGAAAGATAAGATCCGACTAGCACCATCGAAGCTTTTCTGTTTCAAGAAGAGCTCACGAGCTTCCTGATTTGTATAGTCAACGGGTAGAAGCGAATAATGCATGGATCGGATGAACCTCTTTTTTGTTTCTTAAAAAAAATAAAACAAAAGAAAATACAATAAGAGGTTGAGACCAGTCTAGGAACCGAGTACATTTGCATGTGCTTCTTATCGGGAGGTTTCAAAACCCTACGACTCAGGAATTACATGAATGCTAGGATCCTTCCGTGTCTTCAGATGTAATCAGAAATTCGCTCGAAGTGCGGGAAATACTCTGGTATAATCTAATTATGTCTTCTTGGAGAAAATGGTACCATGGTATCAATTTAAAAAACGCCACATGCCTAGAACTCGAATGTTCCCTCACGGAAGGATTAATCGTTTGAACTTCCCGGTGTCCCCCAATTTTCGGCTTCCTCCGATCATACATGTATTTTAGACCCACTTCCGCGGGTACAATTTTATGATTATGTTTCAGAATATATACTTAGTTTAAATTGAGGGGCGCTGTGGAGGCTTACAGGCAGTGTATTCCAGGCCTTTCAAAGTTCTGACAAGGAGACATGCAAGCATATGCGTATGTGCTCTAAATCATCGTGAATCGTGTCAAGGTCTAGCAGCTCGGTGTGGTTGCTCGAGAATACAATGCCAAATAAGCTAGGTCGACAGAATCTAGACGGCAGTGTGCTAAGTCTTGCAATATAATGACTCTTTACCGTTTGGGGAACTTTGGTATAAAGACAGAAGCCCATACTATTTTGGGAGACACATATAAACGGCATCGTGGTGGTTTACAGAAATCCCTTCGCGGGGAAACCTACCTATGAATTAACCTCCTCTGATGCAAAAAAGGGCAAGATGAAATGATCTAAGATCTGACATTTACCACGTATAATTACCTACTTGTCGGATTATTGAATAGGCTATATGCCTCCGCATATTGACCACACTCTGTGCGTACTCTCCCCAGGCTGATTTGTCGGAAGTGATGATATCACACATGCTTATTCTACCCTAGTAACAATTTCCTAGGATCTCTAGAATCCCAAAGGACCTAGATTCATAGCATAGAGCGGTCAGTGAAAAAATAGCCGACCATGGGCTCGGAATTTCTGATGCATATGCGGTCCTGACTCGCCACTAAAAGCGGCATTTTCTTTGGCCCAAAAAAAAAAATCTTTTCCTTGCCACTCGACAGAATGATACCTAGTACATATTAATATCCCTCGGCT